AACTCAGTTATTAATTACAATTGAAATAGCTTGTCGCGATTTTGATTTGTTATAATTTGAGTGTGAATGTTTTCTGAAAACATTTGATAGGAACTAGATAAAGATCTGTGGTTTTCACTGTTTAAAAGAGGAGATGAAACTGCATTGAGTCTCGAATATGAGACTTTTCTGATAAGTTTTCTCAGGATCTTCTACCAAGTATTTTAATTTTCAGTAGTGCACTAGAATCATTAAATAATGTTTAATAATCTATGAAAGTTTGATATCAAAAGGTTTCGTCAGTCATGAGATATTAACATTTTACTACGTGTTATCAGCAGATTTTCCAAGAAAAATTGATTTTCTTTCTAATTTTGTTTTGACGCAAAACCCAACTTCTAAACCTATTTAAAAGTCTCGATTTTTAAAAAAGTCTTTATGGAAATCTCTGAGAAAACTTATCAAAAAAGTCTGATATTCAAGACTCGATGCAGTTTCATCGGCGATTTTAAACAGTGAAAACCTCAGATCTCTATCTAATTCTAATCAACAACTTATTCAAAAAGCATAGATGTATCCATTACTTTTTGAAAACAACCATAGTACATCTAGTTTATTAACTAAGAAATTTATCAATCTTTTCACTAAAAATGAAATAATTGATTAAATGTGACCGAACTATTCAATTTTTATTTGCGAACTTTTTTTGAAATTATTTTATGATTATCTGAAAAGTTAATAGGACATCATAGATAACGTACATTACTTTTGTCTTCGAAAAAAAAAGACTAACTTTGTGAATAAAGAACGCTCTTATGAAAATTATTTTTTTTTTGCATCAACAATCAATTACATAGAAAATAAAATAAATATGAAAAAGAAACTTAATGAAAGATTAATTAACAGATAGTATATTACGAACTATCAGAATAGAACGGCTCATGATAGGAGGCAGAACTTAAATACATTACAAAAAAAAAATATTAAAATCACAAAGAAGTGATATTTTTTCATTTCAAAAAAAAAGCGTCAACTTTGCTTAATGATTTATTTTCAAAAGTTATTTATTAATTCAAATAAATTTATACAATGTAATTTAAGAAAAATAACTAGATGCGGATTTTACTAATGTTTTCATCAATTTTTAGAATGTTATACTCTTTAGGAAAGTAAAACATATTATCAATAACTGAAAAATGCAATACAAAAAGAGAAAATAAAATTCATTTGAATAAAATAAAATATCGAATCGATTTAAAAAGTCATTTTTGAGAATTTATTTCATTAAAGCGTCATTTTTCATGATTTATTCTTGTTCAAAAAAAAACATGAAAACTTGACCTACATCGACACTCAGTCTATTGCGCAAGACATCTTCATATGCATTCCTATAGACCATTTTTCTAATAAAGTCATTATCAAAACAGTGACGTATCCAGGATTTTTCAGTATGTTGAATCTCGATTTCTGAGCATGGGATTCAGATAAAACTCATGGAGGGTGGTGTTGGATCTAAATGATGGAATTTTATCAAAAAAAATTTGCACTCTGAGATTGCGAAAAAAATTAGCATTTTTCTGATCTCTTCCCTCTAAAATTTTTTGCTCTTAGGAGTATCCCGGTTTTTAGAATTTCGTAGGAAGCTACACCGAATTTCATTAATAGATTTCAAATTTCGTCTAAAAATATGCAACCGTTCCAGAGCTATGACGTTTTGAATTTTTGCTACATGTCAAAACAATTTTTGCATAATTTCAAAATGTCATAACTCTGGAACGATTGCATATTTTTAGACGAGATTTGAAATCTACCGATGAAATTCGGTGTAGCGTCCTATGGAATTCTAAAAATCATGATACTCCTAAGAGCAAAAAATTTTAGAGGGAGGCGATCAGGAAAATGCTAATTTTTTTCGCAAACTCCAAGCACAATTTTTCTTTGATAAAATTCCATCATTTAGATCCAACACCACCACCATGAGTTTTATCTGGATCCCATGCTCAGAAATCGAGATTCAACATACAGAAAAATCCTGGATACGTCACTGTATCAAAAGTCTACGAAAAAGAAATCAAAATGCGAAAGTTTTTATATTGCGCTATACATGTTTTTTTTATAACTACAAAGAATCCTTGGAGCTCGAATTACATCAGAGATCAGAACTATCATCTTGATAATTGCCAATCGCCCATATTCAAAAAAGACGGCGACTACTGTTCGGGACCTTTCTTTTGAAAACTATTCCGAAAGTATACTCTATTTCATATAAAACATCATACTTTCTATCTTTCATTAAAAACAATCACATCATATACACTAAGAGAGTGTCTACCGTGTAGACGATTCTACTATAATGTTAAATCTAATGTTTATGATTAGTACACAATTTGAACGATAATTTTTGAATAATCATGAATTTTTTTTGTTTGGAACAATTTCTATGTGAAATGGATAAACATCTTTATTTAAAATTCAATAAAAGATACATAGTTAGTATACATTTATATAAAGATTACAATAAAAACAAAATGAGTGTTTTGTTAATTTTCAGTGATTAATAATATTTATAATTCAAAAATAAAACGAATAATATCTCAAATCAATAAAGTGATTTAAGAATGTCCTCATATATATAAGTCATATGATAAAATTTTTATTCTAATATATTATGTAGTCAATAAAGAGATGCTTTAAAATAATTTTCATATTTAAGATGAAATAGCTTCAGAATTATTCATAAGGTTTCAATCTTCAAGATGATCTTATTCGATTATTTTTTTTTCGTATTACATGAATGAAATAATTTACTAATGAAATTATCAATTGCATAGAAAATGAACAATTCTAAAATATCTATACATATACAATGTAACTTCAACATCAATAATTATAATCAATTTTTTTTTATTCAATATCACATAGATTATAAATTATTCTTAAGATTGTCATGAGATTGACGACGAGCATGAATATGTTTGTAAATTATGATGTCATTGTAAAACAAATTTATAATAATATCTATGATCTATATTCTTCTCAAATATGAACTATTTTAATTAAGATATAATTCAAATATTTTGTATAATATGAAAAGAAATATTTTTCTTATTATAATAGTCAATAGTATTAAAAGTTAAACATATATGTCTAAAGTTGACGACCATTGTTAGCATTATGATATTGTTTAGAAAGATTTAGAAGTTCAAGCCTATTTAATAGATCGGTTATTGTTGACAAATTTTCATAAAGCCAATTACCAATTAGTTCAATAGTAGCCTCATCTATAGGAATTGATGAAGAGATTTCATCACGTTCTTGAAGTTCTTTTGCAACAAGTGCTCCTAGTAATTGACGAGCAGTAAATTGTTTTTTCATGACTTTATCCAATGCATCATTATTATTGTTTTCAAAATTAATTTGTCGTGCCATTGAATTTGTAATAATCAATACTAATAGTATAATTGAAACTATGTATTGGTTCATGATGATGAAAATATTTACTGTTGAAATTATGAATATTACAGATAGATGTAAAATGTAACGATATGTGTTTATTTTTTGTTGTTTTATACGTAGCCATAAAAAGAAAAACTATTTTTTCTCGTTTTGCTTCGAAAGAAATTATCAAACCGTGTCTAGTGTATGAATAATTTAGTAATTTATAGATTTTTATGGAATATTAAAAAGGACATCCGATTTTAAAAAAAGCAGTTGAAAGAAGAGAGTGAGCTGAAAAAAAAAGTGATTACTTCTTTCGATAAAATTAATTACAAAAGACAAGGTTGTGATATTCTTCAAAATATACATAATCTTTATGAATATGTCGTTTCACCTGTACATAATTAAGTAATTAAATTGCAAAAATCAATTACTATCTAGATAGACAAGAACATTTGTATGCTTAAATGAAAGTTGATGACATCTAAAAACATTTATATTTCATTTTTAGAGAAAAAAAAAATATCATTCTAGTTGCGTATGTTTGTGTTGTGTCATTAGTGAGTTTAAATGATAGTCAGTTCGTTCGAGAGATATACAATTATAATTGAGAAGTAATATCTAAACTATTATTTAACAAAAATTATATTCAATTTGCATCAATTGTAAGAAAATATGAAGCTGTTAAAATATTGAAAAACTTTTATAGAAGTCATTTTTTTGACCAGTGATGGAACAAGAATTAATCACTCTGTATTTATGAATATCTTTGTTAGTGTTTAATGCTTTGACTTGTTTTTTTTTGCTAAAAGATAACCTATAAAATTCTCTACAAGATTCAAAAAGAAAACAGCTCTTCAAAAACATAATTCAAAAATCATACTTAAGTAGCAGCACTATATTTCAGAAAGATCCATTTTCAAAGACAGATTTTTTCTTACAAAAATAAATCATTTTTCTTCTTCTAACTAAATATGTTTCAGACCATTTTAAGTTACTCTTTTCAAAAGCTTTTTGTTTCTTAAACTTTGCAGAGAATGACATGAAGTACAGAAAATAAGTATAAAATGACTTTGATTAAAGTAATGTCTTACAATTCATGTGAATTGAATACAACTTGTGTTCCATAGTAACTTGAATGTTACTCTTCAAATATATATATCCAGTATGTCTCCAGCTTTGACAATGACAAAGATACAAAAAAAAATAACAATGAAACCGTTACTTATGGAATACTCTTTAGACTAAATCAATTTATGGTAGTTGATAAAGATCTAATACAAGAACATTTATTGAGTTTGTTAAATATTGAAACTTGTAAAATTATTGTCGGATATCAGTGATGATACACAAATGACTGCCATTCACGCCAACACTTGTACATTGACGATGAATCGTCTATGCAACAAATCGTTCAGTTGCTTTCATTTACTACTAGCGTACAGTACATATTACTTAGAATTAAAACTCATTGTATAAATGAATCTTTAGCATTTTTCTAAATATCATTTTATTAAGTAAAAAAAAAACATGTATTCTTTCTATTTATGTTTAAAAAAAAACTTTCAAATTTTCTACATAAATCAGTTTTTATCTTTGTGTTGCTTGCCGACACTTGTAGGAACATGAGGTAATTTATCTAATTGACTGAAAACCCAATCCACAATCCAAGCAGGTAAGTTCGAAATCGGAAAGAAAATAAGACTTGATTGCCATCCAGGTCGATAACGAATACGAGGAACAGTATTCATAACAGCATGTTGAAGAGCTCCAATCACTTTCATAGGATCTTCAGCATACTTAACGAACACATTCTTCGATATCATCTCATTGTATGCTCTAAGAAAACGTTCTCCCCATCGTTCTTGAGCATCACTTAAAAGTTGACTCCACAAATCTTCAAATGATTTCGAAAGTGATTCAATAATAGGTGTTCGCATGTATCCTGGTTCAATAATACTAACACGTAAACCCCATGGAACCATTTCTCGACGTAAACAATCTGAAAATGATTCAAAGGCATATTTCGATGCACAATAAGCAGACATATTTGCTAATGCAAGATAACCAGCTGCAGAACAAATATTAACAACACGTGAATCACGTTTAGCAATAAGAAAAGGTAAAAACTTTTTTGTCATTGCAACATGTCCAAAATAGTTCACATCCATAACTTTACGCATATCTTCCATTGATACCCAATCGATATTACCCAAAATAGCTATCCCTGCATTATTAACAAGTGCATGAAGAACTTTTGTTTCTTTATTGACTAATTCAAATGCACTATCAATATCTTCTTGCTTAGTAATATCAAGACGAAAAACTGTAGCTTTTGATGAAAGTTTTTCTTTAAGAGATGCTACATTGTCTGGAAGTAAGACGCCAGCAAGAACATTAAAACCTTGTTTATCAAGTTCAATAGCTAAACCATGACCAAATCCACTATCACAACCACTAATAAGAACATATTTACCATTAGGATTAATGTTTGGTGTTGGAAAAAAATGTTGATATAAACGATAAAAGATATAAGGGATGATTATAAAACCAATAAGGAGACACATGGTGACACTGTAAAGACGAATGAAGAAAAAACACAACTATCGTTCTTTTTGTTTTATTTTCTTTCTAATCTAATGTTACTGTCACAATAATCACAATCTCGAAGCGAGAGTACTGTGTGAAAGAACGCAATGCACATTTTGTTTTATAATATCCATAGTATTTCTTTATCAATTTTTTTTGATATATATGTGAGTCACTGAAAAACATGATGTGTCAATATGTATTTCGATCTTTCATCTTTTTTACAAAGGTCGCAGAGATAAAAAAAAAAAGTAATAATGAAAAGAAATGATGAGAATCATATTGAGTGATTTATAAAAGTGTCAAATTTAGATGAATACAACTTTTATTTGATTAAAAATAAAAGCAGTTAATTCTTCTTTTTTTTATGAAAAATATACATATCATATTCATTGTGCTGTTAGTAGTGATGTGCACTCAAACTCGGTGAGATATTTCATAAGATTTTATAACCATTCCACTGTTTTCGAAAACAAAAACGAAGAATACCTGTGTCATTTTGTTCTGTTAAGATAATGATGATAAGCGAATAGAAAACTGTAGAAAGGGCATAAAAACAAGATTTGTATGTTAATCAAATTAATAATAACTTCGAAGATCAATATTTATTATAGCGCTTACATAGAGCCACGACGAAACGCATTTCAAACATACGTAAACTAGGCTTCTTTTTTTCAAATGTAAACGTCTGCATTATGCATCCAAATAGGTTTCAAATGCATTCTAATTAATACATTGGTTCTATATTCTCCTTGATGCTCTACAGTTTAAGATATGTTTCTGAATGTAACTCGGCCATCTTCATAATGTCATTACGACAGATTTAGACAACTTGGTTTCTCTAAGCTATTACATTCTTTCGAGCATCGAAAATCATTTAACTCATTCGTGCCGATTGTAACGATCGTTGAAAGCAATGCTCAAACAAAAAATGTTGTGTTTTTATCAGAAGGTGCAATTGTACATTTGTCATATAAGTTAATTCCTTACAATAGCTAACGAAAAACTATATTTGAATAGTTGTTCTATAGGACTCATAATACCAAGTGTTGTATATCTCAAAATACTGTAGAATGTCCATGGTAGTTTCAGTTTTGACAAAGATTTCTTCCAGCTGTGACACACCTAAATACGTTTATGAAAATTTGTGCTTAATATATGCACAAAAGCAGCTATTCTTGCACGAATAACAATCTCAACTAATCTGATTCTTTTGATTTTCAGCTCACAAACAAGGAACAAAGCAAAACTATTCTCATTGCCTTAAAACTCTATAAAATATTTGCTATATACATATAGACGTATTTATATTCGATGTGAAGTCATGTACTATTGGTAGAAGAAATTCAACGAATATGTTAAGCTTATTAGTCAGTTCTCTGCCTTGTATCTCTCAAAACTCATGATCGAGTCTCATATGGAGAGAAAAAGTCAATCAATACCATTACATAACTTTCTTGTTCATAACAGAAATCTTGATGTATTGATGCATACGTTTATAAACATTTTAAAAGCCCAATAGTAATTTCATATGAACACATGCTAAGGTGAACATTTTCTCTTTGTCATAGTTTTCTCACAGTTATAAAGTCAGTCATTTATACGTGAGATAAAAAAAATCGACAAACAACTATGAATAAAATACTTCATACACAATTCACATGCATGTTTGATATGAAAACCTAATTGATCAAATAAATATAAAATCTTTCTTTTCGAAATATTTATTTCTAATAAATAAAACCAAAAAAATGCTTTGCTTGTTTATTTCGCTAACTATAACCGTTTAATCTTTTAGTTGTTGAGAAACAAATGCAGGAACATGATGTGATTTATCTAATTGACTGAAAAGCCAATCCACAATCCAAGCAGGTAAATTCGAAATCGGAAAGAAAATAAGACTTGCTTGCCATCCAGGTCGATAACGAATACGAGGAGCTGTATTTATAACAGCATGTTGAACAGCTCGAATGACTTTCATAGGATCTTCAGCATATTTCCAAAATGGGTTGTTTTTTTTGGTATCAAATGTAGCCTTAATAAAATCTTCTCCCCATCGTTCTTGAGCATCAATGGAAACCGTGCGACGAAAGTCTGGAAATGTTTGAGGACCAGATTGAAGAATAGGTGTTCGCATTGCACCGGGCTCAATAATACTAACATGTAAACCCCATGGAACCATTTCTCGACGTAAACAATCTGAAAATGATTCAAAGGCATATTTTGATGCACAATAAGCAGATCCACTTGGTAATGAGAGATAACCGGCTGCAGAACAAATATTAACAACACGTGAATCACGTTTAGCAATAAGTAAAGGTAAAAATTTCTTTGTCATTGCAACCTGTCCAAAGTAATTCACATCCATAATTTTACGCATATCTTCCATTGATGTCCAATCAATATGACCAGCCACACCTATACCAGCATTATTAATAAGTGCATGAAGAACTTTTGTTTTTTTGTTGACTAATTCAAATGCACTATTAATATCTTCTTGTTTAGTAATATCAAGACGAAAAACTGTAGCTTTCGGTGAAAGTTTTTCTTTAAGAGAAGCAACATTGTCAGAAAGAAAGACACCAGCAAGAACATTGAAACCTTGTTTATCAAGTTCAATAGCTAATCCATGACCAAATCCACTATCACAACCACTAATAAGAACATATTTACCATTAGGATTGATATTTGGTGTTGGAAAAAAATGTTGATATAAACGATAAAATATATATAGTATAATGATAAAACCAACAAGGAGGCACATCATGGCGCTGTAATGATGAATGGAGAAAAAATGCAACTAACGTTCTTTTTTTTTTCTTTTGCTAACTTAGTGTTACTATTAGCATAATAACAATGTCTAGCCGAGATCACTGTGTGGAAGAAAGCAAAACACATTTTGTTCTGTAAATATTCATGCAATGTCTACATCCTTCCTTTTTTTCTTTTCCTGATATATACGCTACTGATAGAGAAAACATTACGGGTCAATAAGTACTCAATCTTTCATCTTGTTTTAGCTAAGTTCAACGAGTAAAAGAAAAAAAGTAAAAAATGAGAAAAATAATGAGAATAATGTTGAATGATTTATACTAGTATCCAATTCAGATGAATTCATTTTACGTGTTTGATTTTATTTGATGAAAAATGAAAGCACTCAGTTCTTTTTTATAGAAATTGTAGTATGACACTAATATACTACTAACAGTGACGTACACTCAAATTTGTATATATACAGTTATGTTCAAAATTGATCATATACTCTACACAAAAACAGATAGATATTAAGCAACTAAAAGTTTCTCATTTCATCTGTATGGATAAGAGACGGATTTTTTAAATATGTTAATTGAAGACTCAATTGAAATTTCATTGAAATGTTTTAGAAATCCGCTTTCTCGTTCAGAAGGATGAAATAGGAAACTTCCAATTGCTTAACATCTATCTGTATTTGTATGTAGTATATGATCAATTTTGAGCCAAACTCAAGCAGATACTCTTTACCATTGTTGATCTAACATAATAAATATGCAATTGAAAGAGATAAACTTCAAACGTATTCTTAGCTAATATTATCCAAGGTACAATTATTCTAAAAACCATCATGTTCGTAAAACGTTGAAACATGAATGACAACAAAAAGTTTTTTGTCAAAGAATTGTCGATAAAATATCAGAAAATTTTCGAAAAAATCAGCAGAATTCTAATAGCATTTGATCAGATAGGTATGTGATTTTGTTTCCCGAACATTGAGATATGCCAAGACAAAATAGAACGCCATTTCTATTCATTTTTTTAGTACTTCGCGAAGATGATGGATTTTAAAAGTAACTTTTTCTTATATAGTATCAAACAAGAAGATGTCCGATGTTCTTCTCTCTACATTGCTAAAAATTGAAGGTCACTCACTGTTGCTGTTGTCGAGTAATTGAGTATATACCCACCCTTGTTTATTTTTTTTTTGGGCATTAGCCAGTTTCCTGCCTTCTACCTTTCAAAACTCATGATCGAATCTCATATGAAGAGAAATAGTTAACCAACACACCATGACTCAACTTTCTTTTTCTCAACACGAAATGTCTTATATCGTCACGTGCGTCTATATATATTTTACAACAAATTAAAATACTACAGTTTAGACGTAATAGGAGTTACGATCTCGAACTCGTAGATGTAAAATTAATCATTATACAACATATAAAAATAAATTTGATAATCAACAATGGTAAGAAGCAAGAACCATATACAATTCATATGCATCTTTGATATGAAATTTAACTGATCAAATAAATCTAAAATCTTTATTTTCGAAATATCGTTCTCTAATAAGTAACCAAAAATGTTCTTATTTTCTTAATATTTAGAAATATATTTTTTCAGTAATTAAGATAGTTGAATCTTGAAGTTGTTGAGAATATTTTAATGCACAATGAGCAAACATATGATATCGCGAAATAACTAGCTACAGAACAAATATTAACAACATGTGAATCACGTTTAACAATAAGTAAGGGTAAAAACTTCTTTGTCATTGCAACATGTCTCTTGTTTAGTAATATCAAGACGAAAAACTGTAGCTTTTGATGAAAGTTTTTCTCAGAGAAGCTACACTGTTCGGAAGATAGACACTAGAAAGAACATTAAAATCTTGCTTATCAAGTTCAATATCTAATCCATTACCAAATGCAGTATCACAGCTACTAATAAAAACAAATTTACTATTAAGATTGATGTTTGATGTTGGAAAAAATATTGATATAAACGATAGAAGATATAACGAATAATTACAAAACAAATATGGATGAACATCATGATATTTTAAAGACCGACGAAAGAAAAACACACTACTACAGTCGTTTTCTTTTACTATCAAATGCACTTGTCAAGGGGGATGATAGAGAGGAATCGACTACGTAGTGTTGAAGTACACCTGAACGTCTCTTATAATTCACAGCTATATGATTCATTTTCTTTTTGC